CTGCTTCTCCCTCTCCTACTCCCCCTGCTTGTGTTCCCTCTCTCGCTGTGTCTCTCTGTCAAATAAATAAATAAAATCTTTAAAAAAAAAAAAAAGCTTTTGAAAATAATAAGAATGTTGAGCAACTGGGTGCTTACAAGAGTAAATCATATTCTTATTTTTAAAAACTAATTGTTGTGAATAAATAATAGAATATCCCATTCATAATAATAAAAAAGATGTAAAGTATCTTGGGTGGGGGTGATTCTCAGGAAATGCACCCAGAATATATAAAGAAAATCAAACAACTTGTGATAAAGTACTGAATAATAAACTTATAAAACACATTTGCAAGATATTTTATATTCATTTACTTTATATTTCAGAATTTCTAAATACATAAAGATTCCTTACCAGCCAATTAACAAATAATAACAACCAATAAAAAATGGGCAAAGAACATGAACAGACAAATCATGGTAATATACAATTGGCTGGTCAGAATTTTCAATGATAAAAGTATGGATAATATTTGGGGTTAGCATTGTAGTTAAGAGCATCAATTATCTCAAAAATGTTTGAAGGGCAAATAAAAAATCTTTATGAAATTGTAAATCTAGACATTCTTTGAATCAGTAATTCAGTTTCTAGTAATTCATGTGAGATATTCAAACAGACTCTTGAATATTTTTATACAATTATATTCATTTAATCATTGTTCTTAAAAACTAACATCTAGCAGGAAACCCGTAATTGTCTTTTAAAATTAGATTTATGAAATTCTGTTACATTTATAAAATGGAAAACTCTGAAGTAATTAAAAAAGAATAAAGTCTGCATGAATTCATGGGATAAGATTTCTAAAACATATTCTAAAACCAAAAAAACCTATGAAAGCAAGTTACAGAATACACATAGAATTGATTTGTAAGTTTGATATGAATAAAAATGATCCTCAAAATATATGTAATATTTGTCATATTATTTATTTCTGAAACCTGGTATTCAAGGAAAATGGAAATATGTTTTTACTTTGTAGATTGCTAAAGCAATTGAGTTTTTATCTACAAATATTATTACATTTTCATGTGTATTTATTATGCATATAATTCAATATATTTAAAACAGTGAAGATCTGAGACAGTCCCACTCATATAAGACTATATTTAGTAAAGAAATTTTAAGAATAGGATAGGATAACTTTGGCACTTCTTATCATACTAATGGCAGTTAAAATTTATTGAAATTGGGAGAGGATTCTTGCTAAAAATTGGAATAGGAAATAGGATTTTAATCTACAAAGCATAATGATAATAATGATTTTTAAGAATGTGTTAGAAACATACCTTTCATCACATTTTACTTCAATTACATTGTCGGTTCCAATACCAAGGATTGCTGCAGCTTTTTTTACTGAATAATGACCCTTGGACAAAAATGAAAATAGGAAGGGCATTCATTTCTCTGCATTTCATGATCATTTACACGAGTGCATTTGGGGGCATAAACACATAGCTTTGAATGGGTTTGCACATGTATACGTACATCTATATACACATGTACGGTCTCAAGGCATATTTCCAGGCCCTCATGGTAACATTTGTTCAGATGAAGGAGGTTGTGACACCTTATTTAGAAGGCACCATCACACAACTCTTCACATGCAGTGGGGGTTTGAATATTCTAGCTCTCCATATACATAGGAAGTCATGTCACTTATAAATCTAGTAATAATATTCTCCAGTGGTAAAATCCTTACATGCTCCAGACAGTTGTAACTCTTGCATTACAGATATCTATATCTATATCTATATCTATATTTTTTAAGGTGTAAGGCTTGGAGAAATGCATTGATTCTTCTGATGCCTGCAATTCTGAATTTTGGCTTTGACATCAACTTTGATTTCTTGCCTTTTAGATAACTATTCCCTTGTATCATTCTGCCTGGTGTAAATAATATCAGTAAGATGGAGGTATTAACAGCTCAAGATCTAAACTTGGACCTGGTTATTTTTAGTTGCCAGGAAAAGACCAGATATATGAAAGAAAAAAATGCAGAAATTTAAAACCCTAACTATGATTCATATCAATGGAGAATGCCAATTAAATAGGAAATGATATTTTTAATCTACATTATGGAAATTCAGCATATTTACTCATTCTATGCAAAAGTTATATGTCAAATGATGAAAATGACATTTGTAAACCAGCATCTTAAGTTATGTAAGTTTTACAGTAAATGACATTAATTATGCAGCAGTAGTCTCCAACTTGATAATATGCCTATATATAATGCCAATTTGAGTTTGGTCATAGAAACATATCACAAACACAGGGACATTTCAAAGAAAACCCTGTGTTTAGAGGCACTTTCAGGTGGAATTCTCAAACTGGAATGACTATTACATTTTAATATCACAAATATTGCTGAGGTGGAAAAGAAAAATGTGACCAGATTTATTAAAGGGATGCATTGATTTTTAAAAAAGAAGCATTGATGCCGTATACAAGATTGGAACACTAAAACAAGAGGAGATGTCAGTGGATACATTGTCAATATCAGAAACATTTGGCTGAGGACCTAGTCTATAAAAATATGCCTTTCTCTATAACTGATTCCTTTGATCCTCACTGGAAAAATAAAACATCAATCACATTCTTCTCTACATTCAATGATAAAGCAAATCATTAAGTCTTTACAATTTTTATGGCTTGATATTTTTTTTGGTAAAGATAGCACAATGCTTTATATTTATAATCACATTTTTTGTCAGTTTCTCATATTTTGAAATTAAATTTTAATCCTGAGTTATCTGTATTGCTAATCTCTAGAACCTATATTGACTGGAAAGTTGTTTTTTCTCTTTCTAATATCAATATGCAGACCCAGACACAGAGATTACTGAATCTATGCATTGTTAGAGTGAAGCTAATATTCTGACTTCCAATTACTTTACAGTTTATCCCAGAAGGCTCTTAAAAGTTGGAAAAATCTAGACTTGATACTTACTTGTTCGGAAACAAATAACACAACGCACAGGAGTGCGGTCATGCCTTGTCTTTTTATCTCTGGATATTGCTTATAACGGGCTACTAACACACCATAGAGGTTGGCTATACTTCCACCTACGCAAAAGAAATAGTAACATTAATTTAATTTCAACAATCAGAAATGTTTATTGAAATCATGACAATCTGAGAGCTTTCTGAAACTAAAATGGTGCCAAATCACCAACATTATTTTATTTTTTTATTTAAAGATTTTATTTATTTATTAGAGAGAGAGCACAAGTAGGGGGAGTGGCAGGCCGAGGGAGAAGCAGGCTCTCCACTGAGCAAGGAGCCCTATATGGGACTCGATCCCAGAACCTTGGGATCATGACCTGAGCCAAAGGCAGACGCTTAACTGACTGAGCCACCCAGGCATCCTGCACCAACATTATTTTAAAACTGTCTTTCCTTGAAAGTGTTGCGAGAAATGTCAAACACCAAAATTCATAACTTTTAGATTTATGGAAATTTTGTTTATAGTTATAACTAACACAATGGCTCATGAACATTTATCTCTTAAAAATAATAGCATTCACTGAAATATATTTTGAGTGTCTCCTAATATGTATTTTATTTAGTTTAGAGAAATGATTTCTTGCTTTTTCTTACCAGGTGCAAATATTCCTTCTGCTTCTGTTTCTTGCCAGCCAATAATTTCATACATTTTCTTAAGAAGAACTGTTTCGATGACAGTAAATACTGGAGCTATTTCATAGGTAAACCTATATTATATATATAGATTTCTACTGTGAATCATATAAAATGGAATAAATCATGTGCTAGATAAGGTTATACACATTTTTTGGTTCTATAGAAGACTGTAGAAGAAATAGTTAAAACTTATATGCTCTAAATCGCCCCTTCCAGATTAAGAGTATATTAGTTCTACAAAGTTCTACAAGGAAAGTATCATGGACTCCATTGTTTTGTGCAGTAACTGGGAATTTCTTTCACACCAAAAGTAATTTTGAAAGTAAACCCTACCCTCAGCACATACACAATACTGTTTATGGCCAGAAAATGCCCATATATATATATATATACACATATATTGCAAGTCAGAGAGAGATCTAGAGCTACAGACAATATTGTGCAGAACATGAAATAGGTAGAAAAAGCCTTTTCTCAAAATTGATTGATAAAGATATTCTACCTAAAGATAGAACTTTGGACAAGCACACCAAAAAAAGGCTAAAAACTATTATGTTTTCAGTAACAGCTCGAAGCAAGTAGATGGTACAAGGCAAGAACAGCATGGGATTCATGAACAAGAATTCAGAGAGCATGGCAATGGGGACTCACTCTCCTCTGAGTCACACCATGAGATTAGAGTCCCTTCCACAAAAAGAAGCAGCTAAGATTAAAAAGGCTATCAGCTTTTGTCTATGCATACCATATACAATAAGCAATGAAGTACTTACTGTGCATTCTGAAATCAGAGTTGGTTTGGTTATTTTCAAGAAATTCTTTTATTTGTCCTCAAACACATTTTTTTAAAAGATTTTATTTATTTATTTGAGAGAAAGAGAGAGAGACAGAGAAACAGCATGGGAGGGGGGAGGGTCAGAGGGAGAAGCAGGCTCCGCACTGAGCTGGGAGCCCGATGCAGGACTCGATCCCGGGACTCCAGGATCATGACCTGAGCCGAAGGCAGTCGCTTAACCGACTGAGCCACCCAGGCGCTCCTCAAACACCTTTTAAAGACCCCTGTAAGTGTTCTTAGATAGAGATACCCCAGTATCGGACACTGTTTATGTGCCACTTGAGATGCTCTCCGCTTCCTCTGTCTCTAAAGCCTCTGGACGTGATTCAGGCCCAGCCACAGCTGTGACCACTTTCACTCAGACACACTCACAACCCAACAGAGAATCACTTCCCACCTACAAGGCAGGCACTGACCTACAGCCCGGGGGTCGCCTTTTGCATCCAGCCATGGCAAGTCATGGAATCTTCTGGGAGCCCCAAGAATGCCCAACCATGGGGGAGTTAACACCCCATAGTGCAGTCCTTTGGCCATAAGAGAGCTGGTTGAAAATCAGTTCTTTCCCCTTGTTCCCTACAGATGGACTGCCCTTTGGAGCAGTCATTTACAAGAGGGCACTGCATCCCAGATGATGAAGCATTCGCTTCTGCTTGTACTAATGGTATGAACAGGTCTACCATCTCCCTTATGTTGCTTTTCTGCCCTGTCCTGACTCCCTTCATCTTTCCTCAACCCTGTTCTTCAGGATGGCGTGGCCTGATAAAGTGGTTACGCATAAGCTCTTGCCCAGGAGGCCCCACACAGAGACCCAGTAAGGAAACCCATTGCCTCTGAGAATTAAGACTCTAGTTCTAAGAGAAACAAAGTAAGAAGCAAGCCGTATACACTGATATTTCAACCGGCTCATTTCCGCCAGCACATGGTATGCCAGCTTCAACTTCTACGTTACCTTTCTGATTCTATCTCTGTGCCATGGAGTAGGCATTATTATTCTCCGACAACAGAGACTCACTAAACTTCCCAGCACCGCAGAGGGTAGAATTAGGACTGGAATTGGGTTCTCCTTATTTCCACCTCGCATGATCCCACTGTGTCAGGGTATATTAAGAGATCTCCATTCATTAAAAAGGAAGAAACTGAAGGTCAAGGACACTCTCTGAAATCCTTTCTCTCTGCATCTCCCATGTGTTCTTTCTACTCTTCTTCTTTATTTTCCTCAATAGAGAATGATTAAGTCTCATAACGGTGGGATTCTAAACAATGGAGTAAGATTTATAAATTGAGTTTTCTGTCATCATTTATAGAGCAAAGAAACATATTCTCTCCAAAGATAAAGTTTTTTTTAAGTAACATTACTCTGTGCATATTTCAAAGGCCATAATCAAGCAATGAAAATTAAAAACAGCAGTAGCTTGTGTAAGCCATTTATGTTTGCATTTCATACCTACAAAATGCTAATTACTACCATGAGCCATGCATCATTAAAGACCCAAAGATAACTAAACAGTTAAAGTAAACCTTACTTTCCACATCACAAAGCAGTCTCTCCTCGTAAACATTTAGTTCTTGGTTTTAAGGTTTAAATTCCTACCAGCTCTCTCTTTTGATTGCTAGTTAAATTATATTAACATTTGACACAGACTGTTCCTTTCAATTTCATACCCAATCATTTCCCTGTCCTTTTAACCTTGAAAAATATTGCCCTAAAATTAACTTTACTTCAAAACACTGAGGCAGTCGATCTAATTTTTATGTGACCAACAGTTTTGCTATGGCAAAGGTCAAATTTTTAAAGAATCACACTGGAGTTGGGTATAGATTTCCTTTAGAAGTTTACTTTCTTCACCTTTGATCAGATTCGGGTTCTAATTTATATTCAGGCAACTTCCCATACACTTGTGCGTGTCTTTTAGACTACTGTATGCTGTGGGCTCTTTGGAGTAGTGTTTAAACGATTCCAACCCTAGAACTGGACTCACAGCCTGCACACCAATAACCCAGACTAATTAACTGACCTTTACTCCTTACCAAGGAATTCAGATCCTGAAAGTTTCTAGAGACTGTCCAGAGGACTGGATAAACCCAGAGAACATGGAGCAGCTTCTTTGCATTTCTCTCATGGTATGGACTATTTGTTTTTGATACGGCAATCATTGTATCCAGCAAAAATATACAATCTACATCTTCACTCTTGTTTACGCATGTCTCTGAGGCCCAGAAGGATACCCACATGTTGGTATTGGCAGGGGCGGTCAACCATTCCTCGGCGAGTCCGACCACATCTAGCCCACTGGAGAGCTGGTTAAAAAAGCGAGGATGTCCTAGAAAAAAGACAAAACTACAAATGAGCCAAAATAAAAACACAGGGCTAAAAAGCGTTTCGATTTTCTAGCAGTTTCTCAGGTAACAAATATTCAGGGATCAAGCACACATGAACGAATTATTTCATTCAATAAACACTACTGAGAGCTATCATAGGCAGGGACAGTACTCAACACGGGGGAACACAGTAGGAAACAAGGTGGACAGAGCCACTACTGGGCAGATCTTACTGACCAGTGGAAGAAAACACCAATGTGTTTAACTGCAATTGTGAAAAGCACCACAAGGGAAAAGATGGGCATGTTATAAGACCATAAGACCATTCCTTGAGGGCCTAAGGCGGTCAGGGGAGCAGGAGAAGCAATCGTTAGAGAAGGCTTCTTGGAGGAAGTGATTTTTCAAGCAAGATCTAAAGTTAGCTTCCAGACAGAGAGTGGAGGAGACGCATCATGGGTAGGAGGATAGCTTGTGAGAAGCCAGGGAGTTGAGGAAGAGCTCATAAGCTTGAGGGGCAGGAACCCATCCTGGGTCTAAAGTAGAAAGACCCAGGCTGGGATGCATGAAACCACCTCAGTGAGTAGGGAAGGGACCACCAAAATCAAATTAAATAATTTTTTCTCAAAAGCTGCTTCCACGTTTTTTTGGACTGATATTTACAATGAGTTTTTGAAGACTTATATTAATAAAGAATCACCCAGCATTAGTTGCCACAATGAACATTCTATATTCAACTCAGTTTAAATTAATTTCCTCCTTAGCTCCTTTGCACTTCTTTGACAACATAGCTCAAGGATGACATGCATCACAACTCTCTGCAAACCTCTTTTCCCTCGGGTCATTTTCCCTGGCTTGCAGCTCCCCTCTTCCCGTAGCGCCTGCATAGTTTTAACACATAGGTGCTCAGTCAGTGTTCCTTAAATCGAAAGGAATGGAATGCCTGGAAGTTGTGGCTGTTACAAGTGCCTCTTTCTATTATTAACTTTTCGCTTTCTCAGCATCTTTGCCTTTTCCCTCTGTGCTTGATCCTGGGAAATGCAAATGCAGGGAAAGGGCCCCTAGAGATTCATCTACATTTGCAATGCTGAATAAGGGAAGGAAAAAGATCTTGATTTACATCTGTCAGAGTGCTTCCCCACTGTCCTGCTGTTTTTCAGAACTTCTTTTGCTATTTTTATTTCTAACGAAAACTTATTTCAACTTCACATTTACTTTGTATGGTTGAACTTAGTCTTAAAACATGCCTTTTATTTCGGAATCCTATGAGGCTTTCTTTTTGCCTTATTCAATAATATTTTTCTAGTTGTAAATATACTATATGTTAGAGAAGTGCATAGAATAGAAAGTGATAAATACAGAAGAGTAATTTTTATGCATATATGTAAAGAAATTATCTACATAGCTATCTCAATATTTATAATAAATACATTTGGAAGGTATAACTTAAGAATGTATTTTTATAAATAGGTAGTTTTATATGTGTGCATATATACATTTTCACACAGAGTTTAAAGTATAAATATAATTGAAATCATATTAAGCATTTTATTTTGTGGTATGTCTTTTTATAAATGATTGAAATTCTGTGAGAAATTCCCCATGACTTTCCTAGGACTTTAAATGGTAACATTGCATAGTGTCTCTCAAAGGATATCCAGTTTATATAAGATAAATGTCAAAATGAGTATACTTTTTGGGGGGTTTTGGTATTAAAATTAATGCAGAAATGAGCATTCTTAAATATAAGTTATTTTTGCTTGTTGGCATGGTTGATCAGTTTGGTCTGAAGATAAAATATTTGTGATGCTGAAAGTTTCTGGGATGTCAAAAATACATTATTTTAAGTGTCTATTTGATGTCTATCAAATACTAGGCTAGTCATCATACACAAATGATTTCTAATTATTAAAATATACCTGAAATATTTTCACAGATCACATAGTAAGAAATGAATAATAAACTCAGGGATATAGGTTGTAGTTGAACCCTTTTTGTGTGTGTCTCTTTCCAAAGATTATGTTGTTTCCAATACATTATTTAGTAAACAGTTAAGATTTTAGAAATAGAGTTCCATAGAGCCTATTGAAACAGTGTTAACTCCTGGAAGTATCATTGCTCTAAGTGGTTAAGAATAAAGTTACAATAAAGCTAATCAGAAAACACAATTTCTAAAATATAGGATGTATATATACATATTTATACATATATAATTTTTTATCTCTCTATATTTTATTGATGTAAAAGGATAATCAATTGAGCATCAATAATAAATATGACCAAACGAAATAGATAAGTGAAAATAAGTTAAAATGGAACATTTAGTTGCCATTGGGATATAACTCCCCAAACCAAAACTATTTTATTTACTTTTCTGGTTAATTAATAAACAATTCATATGTGATGACACCAATGTTTTAAATAAAAATGAGTAAAACTGGACCATTTTCAACATATACATAAACCTAAGACTATTCAATCCGTCTCCAGTTCAGGAGCATCAGTTTGAAAATTACCTGTTGTAACACCGTATTTTAAGGTATGTGTACAGTCACCAAGTAACTGCTCCAAAGATTCTGGGAGGTCAGACAGTTCCAAGTTAAACCCATCCAAACCTTCAAGAAGCTGATGAGGATAATGAAAGTCCAGTATTTTACCCTTAACATCAAAACTTTTTTTGATGTAATGCAGAAGAATATTTACCACTTGTACCAAAAAACATTTTGTTAAATCTTTACCATCCTTGGATGGCAACAAATCTAGAGAAAAAAAAAAAAAGAGATAAACAGCCAGGTCAGTAACTAGAATACCAAAGAAAATCACCACTGGAGATAGAGTTTTGCTCATTGGAGATTAAAGATATTAAAAGGCCATGTCAAATAACAAGTAGCATTTGTCCAAATCTTACTTATAATTTTCATTCAAAGTCCCACTGGATAACAATTTTCACCAAAAAAAAAAAAAAGCCATTTTAGATTAATGCCATTGGAGTAATTGAACCATCAAGATGCCCCAGGTGGACCTTATTATATTGTCTAGTCAAAAAATGAGCTGGTAATTGTACGTTTAAAAGTAAATTAAAACATCGAGGGGCGCCTGGGTGGCTCAGTCAGTTAAGTGGCTGATTCTTGGTTTCAGCTCAGGTCATGATCTCAGGGTTGTGAGATCCAGCCCTGAGTCAGGCTCCATGCTGGGCATGGAGGCTGCTTGAGATTCTCTCTCTCCCTCTCCCTCTGCCCCTCCCTGCATGTTCTCTCTCTCTCTCTCAAAAAAAAAAAAAAACAGTTAAAGCATCAAATCTTAAAGAAATTACAATTGCTTCAATAAATATGTAGATGACAAAAAAGAATGAAACAAATAACATTTGTTACCAACATCCATACCTGAAGCATAAGCATTTGATAAATTAGTCATTACATTGTCTGTCTGAACATCTTTTGTTGCATTTTTCTCAGTTGATTGAAAAGCATGACCAGATTTTTTTCTCATCTGTTCCTTATCTAAGTTAAAAAAGGAAGTATTTTGCGGTTATTAAAGCATGCTGATAATATGTATTTAGTGCTTTTATCTATAAATAGATGCTTTCAAGAAATTCATAATCATTGAAATTCTTATTTACATCCACATGTGATCTCTGAAGGGTAGGTATAAACTGGAGAGAAGCATTAATTCTACTGAAATTATGTAAGCTCTTTTATAACCATATAGAGAACAAATGATACAATTTGTGGTTGTTAGTTTCATATCAGTTTAGTGTACAGGATTAGGAATTTAGTAATTAAGATCTACCATGTTTAATTATAAATAACAATGCCCACTTCATAATAAGATCCTGCTACTAACATTTAATATATGTAATAATGTCTACTATATATTAAGAGCTCTAAGTGCCTTGCACACATTTTAATCCTCACAATAATCCTACAACATAATCCCATTTTGCCAGTATGCAGATAAAGAAACAAATTTTTTTTTATTCTTATGTTAATCTCCTACATTACATCATTAGTTTTAGATGTAGTGTTCCATGATTCATTGTTTGTGCATAACACCCAGTGCTCCATGCAGAATGTGCCCTCCTCAATACCCACCACCAGGCTAACCCATCCTCCCACCCCCCTCCCCTCTAGAAGCCTCAGTCTGCCCAGGACCCTGAGATCATGACCTGAGCTGAAGGTTTCCGCTTAACCGACTAAGCCACCAGCTGCCTGACAACCTTAACATTTTAAATAATCCAAAAATACATAATGGTCTTCACTTCACTTCTGAGCCTCATTTCCAAGTACGCAAATTTTCTGCAGAATGCAGAATTAATCAAATGTCCACTTATTCCTTGGGATTTACAACTATTAAATAATATGCTGGTCAACATCATTTTTCTTTATTAAGCAAGTTTAAGCATGTTAATGAAAGAGCAGGAAAACACTGATGATTCACATAAGAAAATCACCTGGAATACATTATCCTCTATCCTAGGCATTTGGGTGCAATTTATAAAATGATTAAGTAACTCTTAATTTATTCTAATAATAATTAAAAAAACATTGTGGTTTATCAAAAGCCATTTACAACTTTCAACCCAATTTGAGACATTACTGCAGCTTTTTCCTCATTAAGGAGTCCACTTAGAGCCTGTAACAAACAAAAATATATATATTTGATGATTTGAAAACCATTTCCCCCTTCCATTGCTTTCCAATGGAACTGATTGATGATGGTAGAAGTGGCATATATGTGGGAAAATAGAAAAAATAAACCGCAAGGAGTCCACAGCTGTCTTTCCATTTCTTTGAATGATCTGCAGAACTTCTTTGCTCTAATAGTATCATGACATCCATTAAGGAAGATTGTCCCATTATCTTCATTCTGCAAAGATGAACCCTTCTCAGGACTCCTAGACTCACCCTCAGCTCCGTCAGTTGGCCCACCCAAGATCGCCCACTACTTGTGCAGTGTGTCATCCCTCACATTCCAAGTTCATCCCCGAAGCTCCTCACCTGCCCCTTCCTTTCTCACACATAATAGCCAGCGGCACTCTATGTTCAAGACTCAAACAGTCCCAATTCTGAGGAAATGGGTTTTGAGCCATAAATTACTCTCTAGCTATCACTCAGTTCTTCCTTTCATGTCCTCATGTTGGCAATTAGATTTTTATTTGTAGACATGCTCGGGCCAAAACCCTCCCCAGCCCAAAGGGAAATTAATGTTGTTGTTTGTTTCACCTTACCCTAATTTTATACGTTTGTAAACACAAGTAAATTAAAATTAAAACCCACAATTTGTCTCTCCAAAGCATGTGAAAGCTTTCTTATATTACACGGCATTATATAGGATTACAAAGGGGAAAAAGAGGACAATACTCCCATCTTATGATTGATACTAATATTTTTTTTTTATTTTTTTTTATTTTTTGGCTTAAGCCAAGAAAGGAATTTATTATTTCATATAGCTGAACAGTCCAGGGTTAGAACTCTTCTCAAACCAGCATGATTCATGGTTCAATGTCCCTAGGTCATTTTCAGGCCCTGCACTTAATGGGGTAGCTCTATTCTCAGACTTTGAGATGGACCCCAGAGACTTGAGAGTCTCTTCAGCACAAGAAAAGATAGCACAACAGAAAAGAGAGTTCATACTCAAATTTAGGAATTGGACCTCACTGACCTGACTTAGGTCATGTGTCCATCTCCAAATAGAGGCCATGACAGTGAAATGAACACACTAGCTTATTTGACTTTCTGCTTTCTAATCTGTACGCCATTCGTGTCTTTTTCTTGATTTATTGCTCTGATTAGGTCCTCCAGGATTGATATTAATATTAACGCCTACAGATTTCTTTCACTGGGCCCTTGCTGTATTTTGTACTGTGCTAAATATTTTTCATATGTTGAATCTTCATAGAAAGTCTATGATTTTGGCATGTCTCCTTACTTCAGTTCTGCCAGCAATAAAGTGTGCATGGTACTAATACTTACTCATGGCTTTGTAGTATTGAGACAATGCCTCTTAAGGTCTTCTAATATTAATTCTTTATGTCACTCTTTTCTCTGGCAATCCTGACAGACAAAAACAAACAAAAAATCATTTTGAGAATGCCACTTGCTCTGACCAAAAGAGGGCACTGCTTCCCAACCACTACTTGATGAAGTCCTTTATTGACTCTTTCCTTGTGTTAACCTCTTAGTATGCGTTTATAGAAATTTTCTGCATCTCAAAAGTAAGTTCATTCACTCTTTTTCTTACTTCCCCTCATTATATTTTGTAAAATTTCATCTGTTTTAAATGCCTTCCTTCTTCCTTTCTTCTAATCCAAAAGTTACATTTAATGCATATTTATCAAGTACTTCTATGTGCCAAGCGCTCTTCCAAGCTAAATTTGTATGAACTCATTTAATTCTCCCTGAAACCTTATAACACTGCTGTTTACTTACTCCATTTTACAGATGAAGAACCTAAAGCACTGAGAATTCATGTTATTTGCTAAGAATCACATAGCTACTAACTGGCAGATCCAAGACTCAATCCCAGCTATACTGGTTCTACAATCCACTCTCTTAACCCTATCCTGAATTCCATCTGAGAAGTTCCAACTCACATCTTAGTAGCTCCATAGATATTTTCTTACCTCCATCAGTGAGCTGAAGTGATCTTTATTTTTCTCTGAATTATCACACCAAATATTGGTCAATTTTTGTATAGTTTATTTGGCAGCTTAATACATTTATTAGAAGTTGTGTCTTGGGGCACCTGGCTGGCTCAGTCAGTAGAGCATGCGACTCTTGATCTCGGGGTTGTGAGTTCAAGCCCCAAGTTGGGTATAGAGCTTACATTAAAGAAAAAAAAGAAGTTCTGTTTTGATGTGGGAGGGGAAGTACCAAATGTACATTCAATACTGCCCGTAAGGAAGTTACAACTTAGCAGAAAAGTGAGTAATGGACAGAAAAGTGTCATATTTTAATAAGGGAAAAAGTGCTACATTTATAACAAGGATGATAATCATAGATTCTATAAGAGACATGGGACAGGGTGGTACAGGAAGGTGCCATCAAGGTGCTCTGTGAACATTTAGCAGGAGACGAACATGGAGTCCTCTCTAAAGAGGACAACATGTGAGCTAAAACATGTAGGATTAGTATGATTTAACTACGTGCTGAGAGAAGAGACGTATTCAAGGAAGAATCAAACAAATGCACAGGATATTGAGATGTCAATTGAAGAAATAAGAGAAAACCACAGTATAGGACAGCCCAGAAAACCAACAGGGAGAAGTAATCCTGGGGAGGTGGGAAGGGCACATGAATGTGTTTGGTGCTTATCCTTAGAGCAAAAGAAATAAGAGAAAACCAGAGAAGGGTTTGAGATATGCAGTGACATGACTGTGTTTTCCTTATGGTTGTAAAAACAATGGTGAAGGGATGGTGGTTGAATGTAATACATATATTAGTAAAACTCTGAGCAAGAGCTGTTTATCATCTTTAAGATTAACAGATTATAGAAAAGGAACGTATGCCTTCTGAGAAATTTTCCAAAGTGCATTCTAATTCAAATACATGAAATTGAGGGGCTCCTGGGTTGGTTAAGTGTCTACCTTCCACTCAGGCCATGATCCTGGAGTCCTGAGTTCGAGCCCACATTGGGCTCCCTGCTCAGTGGGGAGTCTGCTTCTCCCTCTCTCTCTGCCCCTCCCTCTGTTCCTTCTCTCTCTCTCTCTTTCTTGCTCTCTCTCAAATAAATAAATAAAATCTTTTTAAAAATGTATGAAATTGATAGTGATGATGGCACTATATTATACAAACACATAAAATGATACAGAATTATAAGGGGGTAGAAAATGTCATTGAAACTGAGAGATTTAATAGCGATAATAATTTATAGGCATTGAGCCTTTAGTCTGAGGCACAATCTGTTCTAAACCTTAATGAGCATTAACTCCTTTAGTTGTTCCCAAACTCTATGAAGTAGTTTATTAGTTAAAACCATATATGGCTGCTTTAACAGAAACAAAAATAGTAACTTAAGCCAATTAGAAGATTTATTGCTCTCCTACATAGAATTCTAAACTGGTAAATGGCTCAGGGCAGTTGTATTATTCTGTCCATGAGGTCATCCAAAGACCAGGGTTCCTTCTATCTTGTGACTCTCCCATCCCCTAGACCAGTGCTCTCTGAGATATATATGTAAGGAATAACATGTGTAATTTTTAATTTTCTATTAATCACATTTAAAAAAATAGAAACAGGTGAAATTATGTGTAAAAATTCATTCAGTTTAACCTATTATATACAAAATATTATAATTCAAACATGCATTGCATCTCAATTAGATGTTAAGTGGATGTTTAATTACATGTTAACTGGGAAATACTTAGTCCGTATTTAGATTTCATAAAAGCTTCATTTGAAAAAAAAAACAGATAAAAAAAGATTAATTTATGTGTGTTTCAAACATACTTAAAAAGTTCTTTGAGGGGCGCCTGGGTGGCTCAGTCATTTAAGTGGCTGCC